CGCCTGTACCGACCAACAGAACGTTCATTAGCACATCCACAGCGGATCAGCAGCCACACAGTAGCCGCAGACCCGTCGTACAGATTTCCTTCGTCGTAAACCAGTGAGTATTTTACGCAATTTTTACATTTCATATAGAAGCTGCACACAATAATACTATAAATTACGATACAAATTCGACGATTACGTCGTTTGATCGAACGGCGAAGAGCGAAAAAAAAATTAAAACGCGATATTCATCACGCAATTATGTCCGTTATTTACTGCAGTTGTTCATAAAATTATATTATTAGTATAAATTTATGTTATATTTTTATATTAGTTCTCTGGACTTTGAATATTAAATTTAAAAAAAAAAGGTAATTGAAACTTCAAGTTAAAATCAAGTTTTTCTCGTCTTTTCATATTCAATTTTAAAGTCAAACATTTGTATTTTTTTCGAGTTTTTCTACTCGTATATTTTTATTTCGGTGCTCACGAAGCATTTCGACGTGATATTTTCGTCACGTGGAGTGATACGAACGTTTTTAAAACACCACGATCGTTTTTAACGGGCCGTTCGATTTCTTTTTCTTTCGTTATATTACAATATATTATATTATATTAAATAATAATAATATAATATACCGAAACGCAGTGTACTCAGTGTTCGTCCTAGAACCGATAAAGTATTACAATTTTTTACGTCCCGATCATAATCATAAGTTTATCGTTTTTTTGTATTTTTTTTCCAGGTTCAAAAACCCAAACCAGCAAAATGTGTGACGATGATGTAGCAGCTTTGGTAGTCGACAATGGCTCCGGTATGTGCAAGGCCGGTTTCGCTGGAGATGACGCACCCCGTGCCGTCTTCCCCTCCATCGTCGGCAGACCCCGTCATCAAGTTAGTATAAACATCCGTTTAACGCATCGTTACGATGATATTATTTCCGGAGGTTTTCAAAAATTCGTTTTAAAAATTTGCACTTTCCATTTTATTAAACGAAATTTGTAATACAAAAACAAAACACAACTGTTAACTACTACCACGAGGCCCTCCCAGAATTCGTGACCATAAAASGTAGCGTCCTGAAAATAGGACAGCAGTGCCCCGCCTTTCGAACTCGTCTGTAGGCTCTTCGCCAACCCGTCCGTCGGGGTAAAAATAAACACCGTATGTCGCCAGCTGCGGACACTGTGCGGGAGCCAAAGGATTTTTATTATACTATCGTTTTATATACATCGGATTTCAAACAAACCCTTCCACTCGCCACCTCTTCATCACAACCGTCTAATAAAAATAGATAGCACTTATGCAGAGCGTCTGGAAATACTTGGAGGGGGTCTGGAGCGTTACAAAAATAAATGTTCTACATCAGCTGGTCCAGTGCACACTGCAATATTAATCTCACGTTGTAAATTTAGAACGCTAATATGCATGTTTTCTCCGAGTATTCAAAATATTATTATTTCACACCATGCTTATCGTTGTAAAATCAATTTACTTACAACACCAACTTACAATTAATCGAAAATGTTTGAATTTATAAATTATAAAAATATATATTAATTGATAGTTACCAAATTTACCCATGTTATACGAATAATTTTTCAGGCGTAACACAATATCGATCACACCAGCAAATTTAATAAACAATTTTTTAATCTTGACAAAAAAAATTTGTCATATTTAAATAATATGTTGACACACACACGGTGGGGGAGGGGGAAGTAGTATTATACTATTCTAGAACCTATATATAATTGTAGATTGGTAATATTCATACTATTAAAATTGTATTTTTTCTGCTTATAAACGATTTTTAATTAATAATTATAGATATGATTTTTTTAAATTTTTTAAATTAATTTTTTTATTACTATAGAGTTTCGAATCTAGTCAGGAGAAAATTTTTTTTTGTAAATTCTGTCGCGTATTAATATCATGTGACAAATTATTTCATTGGAAACGAACGCTCGCCGTTATTGTTATATTTTGTTCGGCCATATATTTCGTACTTTGACATATGGATTTATATTCTTTATTAGGGTGTCATGGTCGGTATGGGACAAAAGGACAGCTACGTAGGCGATGAAGCCCAAAGCAAACGTGGTATCCTCACCTTGAAATACCCCATTGAACACGGAATCATCACCAATTGGGATGATATGGAAAAAATCTGGCATCACACTTTCTACAACGAATTGCGTGTTGCCCCAGAAGAGCACCCAATCTTGTTGACCGAAGCCCCATTGAACCCAAAGGCTAATCGTGAAAAGATGACTCAAATCATGTTTGAAACCTTCAACACACCCGCCATGTATGTTGCCATCCAAGCCGTACTCTCCTTGTACGCTTCCGGTCGTACCACTGGTATCGTTTTGGACTCTGGTGACGGTGTCTCCCACACAGTCCCCATCTATGAAGGTTATGCATTGCCCCATGCCATCCTCCGTTTGGACTTGGCTGGTCGTGACTTGACCGACTACTTGATGAAGATCTTAACCGAGAGAGGTTACAGCTTCACCACCACCGGTATGTATTTTATCACCATCCGTATCCACGAGGATTAAAATCTCTACTTCAATCTAAAAATTTTTTTAAATTACAGCTGAGCGAGAAATCGTCCGTGACATTAAGGAAAAATTATGCTATGTCGCTTTGGACTTCGAACAGGAAATGGCTACCGCTGCCGCTTCCACCTCATTGGAGAAATCCTACGAATTACCTGACGGACAGGTCATCACCATCGGAAACGAACGTTTCCGTTGCCCAGAAGCCTTGTTCCAACCTTCATTCTTGGGAATGGAATCTTGCGGTATCCACGAAACTGTATACAACTCAATCATGAAGTGTGATGTTGACATCAGGAAGGACTTGTACGCCAACACTGTACTTTCCGGAGGTACCACCATGTACCCAGGTATCGCCGACAGAATGCAAAAAGAAATCACCGCATTGGCTCCAAGCACAATCAAAATCAAGATCATTGCTCCACCAGAACGTAAATACTCCGTATGGATCGGTGGTTCCATCTTGGCTTCTCTTTCCACCTTCCAACAGATGTGGATCTCCAAACAAGAATACGACGAATCTGGCCCAGGCATTGTCCACCGTAAATGCTTCTAAGTCATCACCTCCCACAACATACAAAATCAAAATTACAATCACGCTTTATGTTCATTTATACTGAAGAAAACCTATGTGTTTTTTCTTTTTGTACATATCGAGACGATTTTTGCGTCGTTTTACACGGGGATAAAATAACAGTTCTATTTTTGAAGTAAAAAAAAAAAATGTATTTATTAGCGCGTTAATCGTTTCGAAATAAACGTTTCTATACTAATTGTTGTTGAACTTTTTATAAAATCATTTATATCCTTCATATCACTAATGAAGAACATTAGCTACAGTATTGAAACATTAAAAACAATTAATATGTTTACTATTTTTATATCAGTATAATTTTATCAGAACTCAATACATGGTATATAGAATAACATAAATTGGTTATTTGTGAAATTAATAATTTCACTTGTATATTCAATCAAAATAAATATTATAATTTATATTATGGTCCGCTTTCGTCAAATACTAAATTAAACAATTGGTTAGTAGGTATACAGAAATTAATAAATCAGTGGACACATATTATAGTGGAATTTAACTAAATTTAAATTTATTTTATTATCTATACTTACTTAATATAGTTAATATAGTTACATTCCGAATACATTTAAAAAGGTACATTATAACTGACAATCTTTTTATTAAAACATTTTATGATTAATAATAATTAAGGACAGCATGGTAAAAACAAGCCTTCAATCATATCTACCACAGCTAGTATTATCTATTTATCAAATTATATGAATATATTTTGAGATTAAGACAAGTTTACTCGGCAGTTCGAATTTTTACGGATAATTTATTTTGATCAGATCAAAATGATGATGATTTAAAAATATCACACACAGATCGGTTCTATTGAGGTGGTTGCCAAATAAGGTAAACTTGACTTCTATTAATAATTTAAATGCCGAAACTTATTTTTGAACGTCATTACTCATCACCCATAAGCTATGATATACAATTTAAATATGTTTAACAATTTGACGTATCGTCGAATAATTTTTAAAATTGACGAATTTACAATAACAACAATGTTTATAATTTGTTAAACAATTTTAATGTAAGCTAGTATTACCATAACCTCATTATATCCACTTAATATCACTATATCAAATAGTCGTTAGATGCTATAAAACAAAATAAAAATAAAAGATAAAACAACGTGAGCTACAATGTCGTTATAAATAATATTATATGTATTTACTATTTAGATTAGAGTAGACTACAGATACTGTAGAAAATATAGAAAAGTTTTATTTAACTTATTATAGAATTGTTTTGTTACCCATGTATACGAATATAGGTAGGTAATTATAAAAATTAAAASTTATATGTAATTCTATGAAAATTATTCTTACAACATTGTTGACAATGAGATATTTTTTTAAACGTGTCATTTTAACAAGCTTTTATATAGGTTTAATGTTTAATCTCCTATGTTTACACATCACTCACAAAATGATTAAATAATATACTATATAACATGTAGGTACATCAAATATTTTTTTGTTTTTATACAAATGCACAATGTGCGTTCATTAACTTTATCAATGTATATTTTAATGGAATCAATAGTATTAACTATACGTATATAATATGTGATATTTTATGATTATCTTATATAATTGTGATAATTTATATTTTTAGTAATATATAAAATGTAAAAACTTTCGAATCTCGTGGAGTAGGTATGTTTTCTATACAGTATTTAATTTTATTGTATAGAAGTTAATACATTTCCAAACTTATATTAAAGTATGATTGTAATTAAAGCGTTTTTGCATCATTATTTGCAATATTATACATTGTTTTTCCACGTGATGACCACGAACGCCGAAACGCCTACTCATGTTAAACCCATATTGATCTCAACTAATTATCCGCTTACAGGTTCATTTATATATTCATAATTTTCTTAAATCAATAATTTTATCGAATAACTTCTATAATATAGAAAAATATTAATGTAATCTCAGCCAATTATAAATTATGTCTAATATATTATAGTATATGATACAGCTGATATTGATAGTTCGTTTTCACCGCATACTATTCGTAAATTTGTATTAGTAGTTCCATGGAATGTTAAACTGGTATCGAAAATCACCATAAAGTCTTCCGCGAGCACTTATATAGGTTCGCAATCATAGAGACTAGAGTTCAAAAGACAACGGACATTGAACGATTGAACACATTCGATAATAATTGTTAGAACAAATGAAAACAAAATTACAAAATATTTTATTTAAATATTAGTAGTTATAAGTCATTAGTCATTAGTCATCTCCGTTTGTTAGAATTTAAAAATCATACAACGTACAACATATTGTAATTTATAAAACCATCCTCTATGTTTGAATAAAAAATGTTTTGCTGCAAACACTCTTTAMACAACCTCTAAAACATGTGAAAATCTAAGTTATTAACACTTTTTGGAAAATGTTGACGTGTTTATGCTTTATACAGGCATACAGCTGTACTTTTTTTTATATTTGCACTCATTCTACACAGAGTAAGAGCGACGGTAGGTACTACATAATAAGATAGTATACATGTAATTTATGTACACTTATTAATGGGCTGTATGCGAACATGTAGGGCCATACGTCACATATCACACTGTAGTTATGAAGGTATCAATAAAAATAAAAATTTGACAAAAAACATTAATAAAATATGAGAATTTTCTTTCGTGGGGACGTTTTTTCATTGTCTAGACACATATTATGACCTTTGTGCATAGTTTATTATGCTTACATGAATGTATTTTCAAAGAAAAGAAATTGCGTTTTAATTAGGAAAACATTATTATTAGGCTAGTGTATACATTAACTGGTTAACAAGAGCCAATTGTAACATCATTAAAAATTGATATTGACGAACACGCGTGTATGGAGTAGGTAGGTATCCTATGGGCGGTAAAGACTATTTATAACAATCGACTTCATGAGGCCTCGTTGGGGAATACTATACATACCTCAAAAATGTATTCTACGCGTGCATCTCTGATATACACAATATGCATACTTAACATATCACATGTGTATTGTGTATATACTATAGGTCAATTATAACAAAATCGATATTAAAAGCTAACGTTTCCAAAAAAAAAAATTGGTTGATTTCCAAAGCAATAGTGTTTTCAGAAATATAAAATGAACATACATTTTCGTTGTAATTATAGGTATTTCCTAAATATTATAAGGTTGATTCTCAAGTAAACTTTTACAACTTTTAAGAGTAAAATAAATGCGTTTATGTCAATGGTACACATATTATATTTTGTAAATCTTTATTTGTTACCAAAAAATATTAATTAATATATTATACCTATATTATATAATAAAATTCTCGCAGTATAAATGGTGTACATTATTTTTTATGGGAAATATTACATAACACAATAATGCATAGCACTAAAACAGTAAAACGTTACCAGTTACCAAAGATAAACCGACCATTATGTTTTTTTAGGAAATATTTTATAGTTATCTATAATATTCTCTTTAAGTTAATTTTTCATTCCACGACAATACCTTATTAGTAAAATATTAAACATAAAACTATATTCAAACGTCAATGATTAAATAGTATATTATACAACTATCTATTTTGTTTTAGAAATTTAATCTAATTTCATTTTGAAGAATTTTTATCTTATGATATGAGTTCAAAATTAAAATTCGTATTGATATAGAGATAAACAATTAGTAAGGCATTTAGAAAAATAAAATAAAACATTAAAGAACAACACAATGTGTGTATGCCGATGCTGCAGTATACATAGTTTGTATGTATGACCTATCAACTATGTATAGGTTACCTATCTATGAGCAATATTAAATATATTTATTCGGAGATCAAACAAAAGGTTGTAATATGTAATTGACCGTTTGTCCCAGCTTTTCTTTAAAAAAGTCTGCGGTAAATCATACTAATTATTAATGTAACTGTAATACTGTAGGTAGCTTGAAGAATTTAAATTATAAAACGAAATTCACATTTTTTTGTGCCAATATTGATGTACAGCTGCACCACGTTGACAGTTTAAAATTAATTGAAATGTTTGTAAAAAGCAAATCTGTACAATAAAACTTTTCCAAGTTAATGTAGGTTCCTATTATTAATTTGTTTACAAAAAAAAAAAAACTGTGACTAAAACTAGAAAAAAATATTTCTTAGATTTTTTAAATAATATTCATGTACGTATATAAACAAGGCTTTGTGGTCAAAGTGATTAAAACAAATTAATTTTTATTTAATTAAGCTCATTTGTTGATCATAAGTCCAAAAAATATGTAAATTGTATTTAGATAGTTATATCATAAATATTATAATAATATTTGTAATACAAATTACGATTATTTGATATGCATTTGTCTAGCC